TCGATTAATATGTTCAAAATTTTATTGTTTATTATAAGAAAAAAAATCAACAAAACAAAAGGTTTTTTATGTAGTGTGATTATTGTTATACTGGACCAACGCTTATACCTTGTAGTCTCCCTTTGCCTGTTGGCGCTTCACTCTCGAAATGTCTTACGCATACCTGTTTAAGTACATTATCATTGGCGATACAGGTAGTCTTTTTTATCCAACTCTTATTTAAGTATCTATTAGGCGTTGGAAAATCATGCCTTCTACTGCAGTTCACGGATAAACGGTTCCAGCCCGTCCATGATCTTACCATCGGTGTGGAATTCGGTGCTCGCATGATTACTTTAGATGGCAAGCAAATAAAGTTACAAATATGGGATACGGTGTGTTTTTTTGTTCGCTTATCTTATGTAGGCTGGCCAAGAGTCTTTTCGGTCGATCACAAGATCCTACTATAGAGGTGCTGCAGGAGCCCTTCTGGTATATGACATCACAAGGTACTACTTAATTCGTATTAAGGATAAATATTTAGGCGAGAAACTTTTAACCATTTGACAACTTGGTTAGAAGATGCCAAACAGCATTCAAGTCAAAATATGGTTATTATGCTGATAGGAAATAAAAGTGATCTTGAAAGCCGCCGCGACGTTGAAAAAGAGGAAGGAGAGGCATTTGCTAGAGAACACGGCTTAGTATTCATGGAAACTTCAGCCAAGACTGCTTCAAATGTAGAGGAGGCTTTTATTAACACTTCTAAAGCGATCCATTTAAAGATACAAGAGGGCGTTTTAGATGTTAATAACGACGTAAGTTAATCTATTACCCCAGTCCAATACGCTGAAAGCTGTCCTAATTCTAAATTTTAGATCCTTACTCCTATACTTGTTGCTTCGTTAACTAGATCCCAATTTCTGAGCTTTCCATGATTTGTTTCTAAGTCCGATTAAATTAAGGTTTTAATTTAGATTTTATTTCTTTTTATTACAATTTTATTTTTCCGATGCCCGGATAAAATCATTTAATATACTTGCTTGCAGCATCATATATATGTTTGCTAATATCTCAATGCTATTAGTACTTTCATCGCATGCTTTTTTCAAATTAAGTTGGCTAGCATGGCTGTCGAACATTTCGTCATATCGAAATATTTTATGATACAAAGATCCTTTGGTATAAGACAAAGTATTAGTCACTAAACTTCTCTGTATGCTTTTTCGAAATTTTTTTTGGATTAAATTAGGTTACTTGGTTATTATCTTAGAGGAAGCTAAGTGATTCATTATCTAAATTTGAGCTTGGTGCTTATTTGCCAACTCCCTTTTGTTCGCATTCATTTTTTGATTAAACATCCTGCCTTGGTCTGACATTATACATAGCTAATTTAATTCGTTTCCTCATTTTTTTCCCCTTTTATCTCATACCAGTAGGTGTGAATTGAGACATGTTAATTTAGCATGCCGAAATTTTGCTGCACACATTTTCTCATTTAGTAAGAATTTCGGTAGATGTTATTTACTTTTACTACTGCATTTTCATTCCACAT